ACATCAGATTTTACTGGTTTGGGTGATGGACAGGTTCGGTGTGTGGTATGAAGCGCAGCGAGACGATGTACTTTGTGTTTTGAACTTTGTTTTAACTGATCCAAACGAACAGCGAGGGCAATGAGATGGTCCAAAGATAGTCCATCATCCTTACAAGCGAGTTCAGTTAGAATCTCTGAATTTAGGCCATTACAAAAAGTCACAATCATTGCATGCTCATTCCAGGCACTCCCGGCTGCTAAGGTACTAAATTCTAAAGAATAATCCGCTACAGAACGTGAACCCTGGCTAATGTGGGACAATAATTCCCCTTGAGAACGTCCATCATGGGGGTGATCAAAAACAGCCCTAAAGCTCTGTAAAAAATCTGCATAGGTGCTCTGTTCCATAGAAGACCAGACAGCAGTGGCCCAGTCCAAAGCCTTACCAGTGAGTCTGGAAATCAAAAAGGCAATACGTTGGTTGTCAGAACTAGCTGGAGAGTAGGAAAAATATAATGAGCACTGTAGTAAATCGGGTCTGCTCACTGGAAAATGATCCTCAGGGTTGGAAGCTGGTGCCGGAGCTGTACAGTTCATCACAGGAGTCGAGGAGATCAAGGGTTTAGGTACTAACTGACTTAACAGGGAGGACAGGGATTTAATATCAGATGAAATTTGCTGAAGCTGAGTATGTTGTTCTAATTGCTGATGAGTGAGCTTACCCACCTTGGTTGTTGACGGTACTGTGGAGTTCTCTCAGATCCGCCATCTTGGTTTTGGCGAGGTATTCTGGAACCCGGAAGCGTGACAGAAACACACACACACACATACACATACACAAACACATGTAAGATGATGGTACATAAAAGAGATGCTATAATTTCAATATAGACATACAGACAAATTGACTAATAGATCAGTATTCAATGTCGCCTTTTTTTAAATGTTACAAGTGATGTAATTCATGATCGTGATGTTTCAAAGCACTGTGTGAAGCAAAACATAAATATAATATGAAAACACTAAAACAGTAGGCAAAGTAAGCTTACAAATATATATTAGGCTAAAACATTACAAAATTATAATTTCAGGGTTATCTGAGTATATTTATACAATAATAAATAATCAAATAAAATTCTATACCTAGAACCTAGAGTAAAATGCATTTCAGGACACAATCTACAGCCCAGGCCATGCTAGCAAAATAAAGGAGATGTCATTCAGACCTTGCAGTGCCAAGATCAGAGGGGAGTATAATTTCGGCAGGTTTCAAAATAATACTGCCAAAATTCTACTGCCCTCAATAAAATCCCCCCTGGTGAATTCAGAGACATATGCTTTATATGCTGTAATCTATGAACCAGAAGTCAGCAGAATAAGTTAATCATTCCAGTCATAATGTATCCCCAGAGATAAGAGGGGCATAATTTTGACAGGTTCACAATACACCGTCTGATTATGTAAAAGCTGCTGATTTTTCAACCAAAATTAATCTTAAATATAGGTAACTCTTTTATGCAGTAATGTATACTAATTTGTTAATTTGTCCTAGCTATGAAAGCAATGAGGGTCTCGTTGCTGAATAATGACGAGAAAAAAAGTCAGCTAATACTGCAACGTCAGGTCATCAGATGTGAACTTTATTGCTCCAGACAGAGGTTTAAAGCTGTGTTTAATGTGTCGTAATACTTATCGTTATGACTGAAAGGCATTCAGTCCCACCAGTTCTCAATCACTGCAACAACAACAATCGTTTTTATTTCGTAATATTAAAATAAACCATCACGGTGAGAGTCTTTGTTTGGCTGTGAAGGAAAATTAAAGATAAAGCGTTATTTACACAGAAAATAACCTAAGAAATCCTGAGTGCAGTCCGTAACGACCACATGTTTATGTGAAGCGCGTGCACGCGAGGGGGAGTCGGATTCTGCCGGGGAGTCGGAATTCGGCACAACACCGGCACCATCGGACTCGTCCTCCTCCTCACGACGTCACTCGCGTGACCAGCGTTCGTCGGCGGAGCTCGGGCTTTGCGCTCCGCCCCCTCCACACTCGCGGCTCTGTCCCTGCTGTCCTTGCCAAGGTTCGTCGCCGCTATGTGTTCGGGCCCCGCCTTCCTGCCGGCTCTCGCTGCCGTCAACGTCGGGGCCCGGGGCGCATGCGACAATGCATAGGATCTTTGTCATAGTCCTGACGAATTTCGTGGTCCAGTTTTACGTTCCACAAATGAAATTAAGAATAACTACACGTTTTCAATGAAGTTTCCACTTAACAAAGTTTGTTTTATGTTTACATTGGAATCAAAATGTTAGTTAACTACAGAAAGATTTTTTGCATGGTGAAAAGGTTTTTCACATTGACAGATAATGTGTTGTATATGGTTCTATATAGAAAAATTGATTCTATATAGCACCAAAAAGGTTCTACTATTGTACAGTGTATAAAGCATGAAATGGTTCTAGGATTCATGGTGAAGTGCTATCTTTTTTGAGTGTACTAGTGGAAATTAATTTTGGATTAATTTCCAATGCCTTTAAACCCAGAAACTATGTCTGCTAGGTGACTCTGGTAGTATATTTCAGTTTATTTAATTATATTTTATTTTTATTTCCAAGGCCTTAGAACACCTTAAAATGACGTTTTTACTGTGACTTTTTTGGTCGTCTTTTCAACAGTTAAGCTTAGACGTCTTTTCAACTTTCATTTTCAACCATAAGAAAACGTAAATTAAACAGCAGTTATGTACGTAATTTCAACGTTAAATCAACGGCCTTAAAATGACGTCTTTAATGTGACTATTTTGGTCGTTTTTTCAACGGCTAAGTTTAGACGTCTTTTCAACCTTCATTTTGAACCTTAACAAAGCGTAGTTTAAACGGCAGTCAGACATGTGATTTCAACGTTGTTTCAACGGCCAGATGTTTACTGGGTAGATATGTCCAAACAAAGTGCGCGCTGTACCCTGTCAGTGTGCTTGTTTCACGCTTCTTTTGTTTTGACTGTGAAAAATGTTTCGTTTTTATGCACACATTGCCAAAAGGAACGACAGATTTCGCTTAATGTAGTGGAGTAAAAAGTAAGATATTTGACTTTGAAATGTTGTGGAGTGAAAGTAAAAAGTCGCCCAAAATCGAAATACTTCAGTAAAGTACAGATACACAAAAAAACTACTTAAGTACAGTAATGAATTATATTTACTTCGTTACTGTCCACCACTGTTAACAGGCTACTAGTGGTGCTCTGTAGGCGACCCGGCCCGTCTTCAGTGATAATAGAGAATGGAAAAGTTCAGCAACCTCGCTGCTGGGCTTTAGTTACATTTAGTGATTTTTTAACAGAGAAAATACTTACATTTGTGGGTTTCTTTGGTCGCTCGCGCAGCCATCTTGGTAGTGTTTCTTTTTTTCTCATAACACTCTGTTTGGAGTGTGCCTCTGAAAAACCTCTGTTTGGATGGCCATGTAGCCCTAACACTTCGCCCTACCCCTCTATCTCCACAAAAATTGAGTCACCCTAACCCTAGACGCGAAAGCCCAAAACGGAGGGCTAAGAGCTAAGCGGTAGGGGCAAGGAGTGAAATGGGACTGGGCCTACATTTTCGGCTTTAAAGTTTCCTTTGCTTACTAACTTTGGAGTCACATCCTGTGATTATTTTACATCAGTAATTCCCAACTAATTCCCAAACCACGTAGTTAATATGTGCTCACTCAATCTTAATTTGTTTTAGATGCCCAACCTTTGGTTTTTTAAACGCCAATTCTACTGTAACTACACAGCTGTACCAAAAGATTGCCTGTTCTGTGTGCCTGTTTTTGTTTTTTAACTTTTTCTAATTCAGTATTATATTTCAGTTACAATTTTATAAAACAGTTATTCCCATTAGCCTGCAGCCACAGAAACATTATGCAAGGTTGGTTTAGTTAGGTGATGGATCATATAACCATATAAGTTGTTAAGCAGTTTGAAATGTTTCAATTGAGCACAAATTTAGTGAGAGTGACTGAGATTCATCCATCTGTTTTATTCTGGTGTCTGGGTCATTCATGGCAGACAGGCAAGGCAGTGTTAAAGCCTCATAGGAGAGCAACGGAGTGGCGATCTGTGGTCAGTTTACCCAAGGAGAGTCAACCATAACCTCGGATGTTATTATACAGACCTATGCTTTTAAGTGCTCCCTCCTGAACAAAGAAAGCCTTGTATGGTAACTACTGTATCTATTTTTTAGTTTGATGTTAATGTCTCTGTAGGGAAGAACTAAAGCATAGCTCACAAGTTTGACTCTTATAACTGCCAACAATAACTGACCTTGGGGGTATAGCTAGTCACTCTGTAAAGGACTGTCACTGCAGGTTTATGAGGCACATGGTGTAAAAGGCACAGTGGTTTTTGAGGTTGATTACTGGATATTAATGCATATGAATAATATAATGAAGAATATAAAAAAAATAAATGGAAGACATTAGTTCAATTGTGTAACCTTTATAAACATTTGGTCTGTAGGTTTATTTTTCCAACAGCAGGAAGCTAATGTGCCTTATTATTCACTTTGTTATGAAATTTAGTGTTTATAGTCACATTTTGTCTTTATGTCTTTTTCCTTTTTATAATAACATATATACCATCATTATTTTTTGAGCAAAGAATGGATTTTACTGCAGTTTTTCCCTGTACCGTATTTGCTGTATCAGCTGATGGTTGAACATTTCTTTTTCTAATCGTGATATAGAGACTGTTAGAGCATTAGAGGAGGAAGAAGTTACATTTTTTATTTAAATTGTCATTTATATATAAATATATATACATATATACATATATATATATATATATATATATATATATATATATATATATATATATATGTGCGTGTGTTTGTGTGTGTGTGTGTAAAAAGAAAATACACTGTTAATTTTATTTAATTTAATACTCACAATTACAGTGATTCGATGGGACTTTTATTTTTCAATGCACTGTTGTTTCACTCAGTATCCTGCAAAAGGCGCTCCCGAAGGTATTGGCCTCTTTTTCAACACTCGGAGGGGTGACATTGTGAGAGAATCCATCAAAAATCTACATATATAGCTTTATTAAGCTACTGTTCTTCTGTTTTTGACGCTCCAGAAGAATGGATGGTTATTCCTTGTGGAGTTTTTAAGAATTCCGATACGAAGTCGACACAGATCAGACGCTCGCAGATAAAAAGACAAGGCTGAAGTTTACTTTGATACCTTAGTAGTGTTACAAAGATCATAGTCAGAACAGGCTCGGGTCATACACGGAAAGGCTTTACTTACAAAGAACACACAGTAAGCAATGGAACGTGTTGGCAATACTTCACAAATTACAAAACTAAAGGCTTTATAAATTAACTGCTGAACGGAATGAAATGACAGCTTAGAATTCCGGTGAGGAAGAACGCTGGAACGAATGTTCAGTGGGAGGAGAGTCATGTGATCTCCCACTGACTCATGGGAGTTGGAGTCTAGACAGTCCATGGACTCGAGATTCTACAGGGGAAAGGGAACAAGCAGAGGAGGCGTCCTCGGCAGGAGGCGTTTCAATACAGCGACTTCCATTTACTTTTAAGTTAGTAATGTTGGTAGAAATATATTGTTTTATGAAAAAAAAACAATTGGAGTAAACTTTTATAATGATGGAAAAAGTATAATTTATGGATTATATAGTACATTTGGTGTGCAAGTTACCCAAGAGGCTAGGCTATGTGAATTTGTAGCCAGTGATGTGTACTTGTGGGAAAAAGCTATTTTCCTGTGGTTTTGAATGTAATACTGGTTTTCTGTATGGTTCAGTTTTGATGGTGAGTCAGTGCCACTGGATCCTGGGACACTTGTACACATATACTGAGCAGCCAGAACTTTGGAACCTTTGACAGTGAACTTTTCATTCTAACTGGATACAGCTAAGCACATACATTCACTATCTGGGTAGTTGCGAGCCAATATTTTGTTTTCGGAACTCTTTTTATCAAGAGCTCTCATTATTATTTTCCTTTTTTTTTTTATTTCTTTTGAATAGCCATTTTCCTCAAAGAACCTAAAGGTATATGTGCACTCTGTAATAAATCCGATTCTTTTTCCTTACAAGCATATTGCCTATTCTTCTTACTGTCCCCTCTCTTCTAAACCTAGGTAATGATAGTGCGTTGCTTACTGTAGTTAATCTGACTCAGAGTAGCTATAGAACCATGCCCAGGTTCATGTTTAGCTTCAGATAGAATGTTTGTACATTCTTACCGGAATGTACTTGGTACTTTATAGAAGGAAAGGAATTTCTTACTGAACAGAGATGATCAAGTTAAATGTGAGGGTATAGATACATTATTTTCCATCCATTTCAATGCTGTTATAAATGAGTGAATTTTGACTTCGTATGGTTTGTTTATTAGTACAAACATATTGACTGAGATATATGTCGTTATATGTTGAGAGAAATTTGATGGAAAGCCGGTGAGTGTTGGAAGCAGAAGTGTGCTTCTGGGTCTAGGAAATTGTTTTTTTTTTATTTAGAGAATGATATTTCATCACTACCCCTTTAACTCAAGGCGCAGAAGCAGTGTGGCATTCTGAGTGGCGTGTGGTGAGAGATAGAAGGAGGCGGGGGTTGGGTGGAGGGCGTCAGGTTGACTGAGTGCAAGGGGGCAGGAGGAGGGATTGTTTCTGCGTCTGTCATCTCTGTCATTCATCTGCGGCACGGCGCAACAGCAGGGAGCCCCTGCTGGGGGCGGGCGTGGGGGTTGGGCGCTGGAGGAAGAGAAAGAGAGAGAGCGAAAAAGGGATAAGGACTGTTAGGACATGAGCAGCAGCTGCTGCTGCAGCATAACTAGACTAATTGGGAGAAAGAGACTGGACTTACATACTGCACGCTTCATACACATGGATAACCTTGTAAAGACATGACCTCTTTGCCAGTCTATCGTTCGTCACATGTTTGGTGCTTTCTGTAAGCTGGAATCACAGAATAGAGGGTGAGTCATGCAGTACTGCTTATTCATTGTTCATCGTTCATTATTGTTTTATTGTCTTTCCTTTTAAAACCTTACTCACTGATTCTTTAAAATGGTTCCGTGTAGGAGGAGCACGTGGAGGTAGCTAAAGAAGACAAGATCTAGATCTGGAGATTCAGGCTGAAGAAGTCTTCACTGCCAAGACCCCTCTGGGCGACGGGGAGTTGAGGAGAACGAGGGGAATGGCAGCCAAGAAGGGGAGGTCAGGGCTTCCACAAGCTACCCCTCGGGCTGACCTATCAGCCTACCGAAGTGGTAGCTCTGAAGGTCGTGTTCCATTGCCCACCAAGCTGCGCAAAGAAAAATCCCTGACCAACATTTGTGTACTTACGGACTCCGAAAAAAAGATGCAGCTGTACCAGCACAAGTGGTCAGATGACATGACCAGGACTGGTGCAGGTCAGATCAAGGCAAGTAAACCCAAAGATGGAGCTGGTGCCAGCTCTCTACTGTCCAAAAATCTTTCCAAGTCAGAGCATTCTCTCTTCCAAGGAAAACCAAAAGGCTTCAGTCCACTTCTGACAACTTCTGCCCCTAGCAAGCCCAGCCGGATTCCCCGTGGCCTTTATGCCGAGGTTAAACCCATCAGCAAGGCTGAAGAAGCTACAGAAAGCAGTAAGTCAAATGATGATGAAGTGATTCACTCTAACAAGGCTAATTCTAATAGCAGGACCACTCCAGGAGGGTGTAATGGTGCATCTGAAGTAGAAGAAGGAGATAAGACCTTTTTAAAGGTGGATCCACAGCTGGTGGTTACTGTGCTTGGTGACTTGGAACAGCTTCTCTTCAGTCAAGTGCTGGGTAAGTAAGAACAAGACTTTCTAATCTGCTTCAGTTGCTGCAAAAACTGTTTCCTGCCTGGCTGGCATACATTAGCATCCCTCATCTCAGCCCCTGCTCTGGCTAAGCTGCACCCCATGCTTTCCTGCTTCTGCATATAACAGTCACTCACTCATCTTTTCTTTTATTTCATATAGAAGCCTTAAGAAACAATGGTGTTAAGCCTAGAATCACTGCCATGCACTCTTTAACTATGACTTTTGAAGAATGATTTCCATGTTCTGTGTGTCCTCTTTTGTTTACATTCCAAGCTCAGCATTTCATGAAATGGGAGAGACCAATTTTTGATTCAGATTGGGGGTGTGTGTTGCAGGGGCATCTGAGACAGATGTTAGCATTATTGCATTAGAGCAAAGCTGACACACCGCCCTAGTGTCTGCAACTTGCATATATATATGTTTAACTGTTTTTGCTCTGGTGATTTTCATGATGATCTGCAGATATACTCTGCTTTCTAGAGTCATTGTTCAGCCTTAGCTTTTCAAAGGCTTTTGCACTGGCTATTCTGGGTGTAAAATCAAATAGAAAACAGATTTATATTTTAGGGACATTTTGCATCAATTGTTGGGCAGGGTATTTAAATTTGCAGCTGGTGCCCCTTATTTCTGGGCTACTTGACAGGGAACACCCCTCCACCTTTTCTTCCGTCTCTTTGTTTTTACCCCTCTCTGTTACTAGGGGATTTTGAGAGACAATAATAGGGCTTGTGACACACTTAAAGAAGGTTAGTAAGTCAATATGAGTCTTCAAAGTTTCTCAGCAAAGCTGAGACACGCACACACATAAACTGCACCTACACATTTAGCTGTACTTAATTATGTTTTGCTGTGTGGTTTGATTTTCTTGCATTGCTTGGTTGTTTACTATAACATAGCATTGTGAGGTACTCTGATGTCTCCCTTGACTCTCGTGATGCGATATTGTTGTCTCACCCTAACCACTCATTGATTCATTGTTGTAGTAAATGTTTTGCTAATTAGATTTATATGATTGGGACAGAGATTTGAGAAATTCAAATTCAGTTTATTCGCTAGACACATTTCCCCTCCTACCCCTGGAGCTTATTTCAACCTTGATAAGTAGTGCCTAAGTAGGAAGGAGGAAAAATATCACAATATTAGATGCTTGCAAATAGGCTATTACTCGGTTTTATGTTTGTTTCAACCTTTTGGCTGCTGTCCTTGTCTAGCCTTGGCAGTCCAGTTGGGTTATACATATTTGCGACGATTCAAAGCATGTCTCTGATGTTACCGAACACTGTTGAACATGCATATGAGAGGGGCTGCATTAGTGCTGTTCAGCCTTCAGCTGGGATGTGCTTATTTCTGCCTGCAAAAGTAACTCATGCTGTATTAAATTAGTATGATATTTTCAAAAAAGACAGAGTTAACTTATATCATTTTTTATCAGAAATTCTGATGAGTGTTGAATGAACAAACCATAACTCCTCACTTGAATGACAGCCATAGTAGCATAACATTGATATCTAACAATGCATTCAGATATTATTAGTGCCTTTCAAGCCATTAAGATGCCAGTGTAAAGACGATGTTTGTTGAGAAAAGGCGGTTAACCTCAGTATGTGGGCGAGATGCTTAAGGATCTGATTTGACAGATGTTTCTTGATTTATATGTCAGTAAGAGGTTTACTGACTAAATCTGCATTTCCTAAAGTTAGTGGAAGGACTCATTTTAAATGGATAGACCCACAGTGTCTGGATTTGAGGATTAAACCTACATAAAGATAATGAAAAGATTTGTCTGGTAATTCTTGGTTTATGTGGAATACACAACTAATCGACAGAATTTGTTAACCTTATCCAAATGTTTTGTATCTAAATATGTTATTTAGGTTCTGTTATGATTAACCTATTAGGTTTTTCCAATGGTTTGTAAGCACCACTTTTTACAGTTTGTTTAATAAGTTTAAAAGTTATATTTGTTTGCCCTTCTGAGGGAGCATGGGAAAATTTGCTTTCCATGCTCCATGTTTGGCCCTCTGAGGGAGCATTGTGTAATTTGAAAGTTGAATTTGTCAATGCAGAATAATGCAGAATGTAAATCAAATGTAAATAATTATGTTACAATTCTAATAATAATAATTGCATTATAATGTAAATATGTAATTATGTGGTTATGTTTCAATATATATATATACATATATAATAGTTAATGCAATGTAAATCAGTTTTAAAATACAACAACAACCACTGCTGTAGGTTTAATATGAAAAAATAGTAATGCCTCTGACTCCACTTCTTATCCTATCACCATCTCTTTGCAGCTCAGCCTGAGCTCAGCTCAGCTTATCCCTGGTATCAGGGCAGTGAGCAGTAATACCAATATTTTGTCCATGTAGTTTATATTTTGTCACTGGTCTTAAATTCATTTTCTTAAGGAGCCTGCTTAGATCAGTTGTTTTAGCCCATTAATAATCTTACAGTAAAATAAATAAAGAAGTAAATCCAAAATGAGCTTATTGGAACGTTGTGTGGGATGTTAGAAGTTTGGCTTTTTTTAAATAATGTTTTCATTGTACTGTGCATGGCCATAGCACACACATTGTTAAAAGATGGTTAAGTAATGTCTAATTGTGTAGGAAATGAGTCTGACCATTTTGATCCTGACATGAATAATATGCAATGATTGCAGCAGGTCTGGTTGTATAAACTGTGCTAGCAGGTCCTTGTCTCTAGGGCTAATGTTCTTAAAGTACCTTTAGTCTCAGGAAGAGTACAGACAGGTTGACAGAAGACTCCTAAAAGGCTCTATATTGATGTTATTGGAAATATTAAAGTACTTGAAGTATTTGTAATAGAAAAGTGGCCAGGAATAGTTTCTACATTTGTGCTGCCATCCACTGAAGTACTTTGAAAAGAGGAGAAAACACAATCAATCAGTAGTTTGGTAGGTGTAAATGTGTATGAATAAGAAAATGAACACGAATGAATAGTAGAAGTTTTTGCAATTATATTTTTTTTTAGATTTGTGTTTCTGCAGCTAGGATAAAGCTGCTTTAGACATAATAACAGCAACTGTATGACTGGCCAGCGAGTCTTTTTGCAAATTAGTGTTTTGTTTACTGCCCACTGGTATTTTAAACCTGAAATCCTACATCTTGCACAGTAAGGTCAATTTCTTCACATCTTATGAACATCTCTTGGAAATGCTGATTTGTTTCTTCTTTAGTGTGTGACTACTAATGTGATTATCTAGCTTGGCAAAAGTTGCCATCCCTTGGCATAATATAACTAATGCAATCAAGAACCAAAGGCAGTTTTTGGAAGTCCATAACACTGGAAAGTGGAAAGGGTACCATTCAAGTGTCTGAGCAAGCACTACCTGCTTCTTTGCTCTCAAAAAATCACAATGGCTTCCTTGTGTATTGTGATAAAAAGGCTACCATGTTTAACTGGTCCTTTGTTGAATACACCAAAGGTGGACTTTTGTCAAGTGGAGGTTGTATAGTCTGTATAAATGCATCATGTTTCATAGAATGACATAAGTGATTTGTAGGTGGTGCTGAAAAACTGTAGTTTTTATTATTTCAAAGTAGACTGACCTATTCACAGTATGATGTGTAATTGTTATGGTTGGTGTAGCCCATATTTGATAAAAATTTAGAACTAAAATTAATCTTAAAAGGACATGCTGGCTAAAATGAAAAACCATTGCTACACCTGTTGAAAATATGCTTACAGCCCTCCAACAATAGTTCAAAGGCCTGAGAAACTCCCTTTGGATGATGTGTCTTAAAGTTCTGTTGTGTGTAAAACTGTGTTGTGGTGGAATTCTGAGGGTGGTATGTTTGAAATTAAATGGTAAAAAACAACACTTTTTTTATATTTAGCAGACACTCTTATTCAGACAGAGATAAGAATGGTAATCCTGTTGCTTATGGAACCTCACTATTATCCAGTATGCTAGGCAATCATTCTGGGTTCAGTATTAGCCTCTTTATATTTCTCTACATATTCTCCAAATCCAGGTATACTGTGCTTTACACGCATTTTTCAGTTGAACTGTCTTTGATAAAGGAAAAAAGCTAAGAGTTATACTAATGCTAGCTTGGTTGTATTTATTAACCTATAGTCAGTGCCAGGGTTGGTTGTATTTGTAATGGTTCTATTTGCGAAAGGCATACCTTATATTGTAGTGAGATAACGATAATGAATAAAAACAATATAAAATAGTAAATTCGGACAAACCTTTCAGGCTGAAGGATACACTGCAATACACTTCTGAGATGATCTAGATAAATTCAGCTAAAGGGCAAAAAGAATTTGTCAATAGTGTGCGATTTGTCTTCACCCACGTGTACCATTCTGAAGACTTTAGCTGAACACCTTTATTTTCAACACATATTTACAAACATATGTGAAACATCCCATCTGCTATTGTTAATACAATAGTCAGTAACAATGATGAAGAGTCAAGTTGATGTTATCACTCACACTCAGCGGTGGACAAAGTACACAAACTATGTGCTTGAGTTAAAGTAGAAATACCCAAGGAAAAAAATTACTCCAGTAAAAGTAGAAGTCCTCCCTTTAGACCTCCACTTGAGTAAAAGTACAAAAGTATTTGCCTTCAAATGTACTTAAGTATCAAAAGTGAAAGTACTAAAAGATTAATTATGGCTCTAATGACCTATTATCATTTTTGTAACAAGACTCTTGCTTTATTAACTCATTTAGGTGAAATATTCTAGTGTCACTCTTGTAACACCAGTATTTTAATAGAATGTCATTAATTAGTCTGAAGCCTGATGTCTGATGTCGATTAATATTATCAAAAGCACAAAACACCGAAGGCAAACAATTTCCATTAGGTAGAACCAAGTGGCTATGAAATAATTTTTTACGAACAAGCAAAGTTTCAGTTTAAGATTTATTTGCAATTTAGTTACAAGTTTAAATTTAATAAAAACTTGCTTTAAACACAGGTTCACAAATGAGTTT